CTCTCCCCGCCCGGCACAGCCGCGGTTCCGAGCGGTGTTTGTCACGTCACCTGCGGGGAACGAGAGTTTCCCTGCGATAGTGTTCGCTCCTCACTTCTCGCTTAAAAACGAGCCGGCCAGAAGGTGGAGCAATAAAACAAGAAGTAAAACCCCGAGGTGGTGCCAGGGAAGGAGCCGTTTGCCGGCGACGTTTTGACTTCTTGCTCTTCTCCAGAGATGCACAAATAAACAGACCCAAAAAAATTGTTGGCAATGGACACACAGCACACCCCGTGGAAGCAGGAGCGACCTGGCACAGAACATCAACAGCTCAAAGCTCCCCACAGCCCTCCTTCCACTGGGACAGGCCCTTCAGCAGCCCGGCCATCCGGGCAGCACAAGAAACACAAAACGTGCCTTTAACTACCAAGGCCGATGCTACTGCTAGGATTGTTACAGAGAACCACAGCTTGTATTTTAGATCCTTCACAACAAAACTAGCGAATCTTACGGCTTGGAAGTAAGAGCCCCTAAGCGGGAATTATCTCTGTATGCAAGATTTTCCACTTCCATGGGAAGACGGGGTGTGTAGGCAGCACCGAGGGTCGGTGCAGGTTCCTGTTGGCTTTCAGCGTGCCCTGCTTCACGAGTAGGTGGCTGCGAGGCATCTGGAGACACTGACTTCAAGGGACAAGAGATAACATCTAATTACAAACTTCTATACAAGCCCGGTCTGATTTCGTGAGGTCATTTACCATTTTTCAGGGAATAAATGATAAAGTTCCTTCTCCTTGTTCTCTGTTATTTCAGGTAGAAATGGGTGCCAGAGTTAACCTTAACACTTAACATAAACAATACTGATACCTTGTTTTGTTTGATTTAGACTGTCAGTTTGTCCCTAAAGCCAGTTTTGTGTTTCTTATTGATGTCAACCCACTTAGGAAGCCGGGTTTTTACAAGTTGAAAAGAGGACCTTTAGGACTATATAGGTTTGGATACTGCTGCTTAAAGATAGCTGAAGTACTTCTAACATGTGTTTTTTATTATTAACGTGTAAATATGGATAAGTAACAAACTAAATAAGTAGCAAACTCAATACATACACTTACATGGGGCATGTTCAGTGTTTTTAAGAGCACTGATTACTCCTTGCCATGGGCTTTTCACCCACAGTGGGAACTTTTATTACTCTGTAGCCTGCAGAACTCTGCAGTGGGTCAGAGGGTTAAAGCTGCAGAAACACAATATGCAGATTTTCTTGGCTCAGCAGTATTTAAAAAATAAACAGAATATAAAGATTTTGTCAAAGTCATTTACATTATATAAAACATGAGAAAGCAGAATGTGTGTCCTGAAAATAGTGATGTTTGTTTATTCATTTGAAACATCAGCCATACTTAATGTTTATTTTTTATGCCAAATTTCTTACATTTCACTACAGAACTTAATTATGTTTAGATGGGAGTTGTTAAAAGTGCTTAACCAGGCTGGCTACATACAGCAATTCCTTGTAAAGTGAAAATAAACATCAGCAATAAGCAGCCTCATATTTTTACGTGGGTTGTCAGACAGTTAATTAGTACTTTATGAAAGATAGATTCCAATTTAGTTTTCACAGTCTTTCAGACTTGCTTATTTTTTTCAGCTATTCAAGCCCAATTAAAGCTGTGACTCTAAAGGTAGGCTTGGTGAATTTTCACAGTTGGGGGGAACGTGGAAGAGGCAATGCCCCAATTGCAACAGGTGCATCATGTCCTTAGTCCTGGCTGGTTTCTCAGAAACACTGAGAAAAACAAGATTTTGAAAATTATCACTGTTCGCATTTTATTTTTTCTGTGTTGCCAAAATATCTCCTGATGCTGGACTTCAACATAACAAACTATCACGTGTAAAATAATTTTTTCACAGCTACTTGGCCTGCACTTGGCTTTAATGTTTGTTTTACCCATGATGCAATTGTTTTTGCCTTCTGTCTCCTGTTGCTACAATAAGCCATTTCCCAGACATGTCATCTCCAAAGGGGAAAAGACCGCATGGAAACAGAACAAAGAAAACAGAACAAAAGAAAAACAGGGATTTTTCCAAAGGCCCATTTGATGTACAAGTATAAACAGGAAAAAGATGCCTGAGAAGGTGGGAGCCAGGAACTGTAGTAGCAGACAGCTGTTAACTTGTGTAGTTAGAACCACTTTGGGATTCTGAATGGTAAATAAATAAATGACTCCATGCACACAATGAAGAAAATACTCAACAACTCCTAGCAATATAAGCTGAACTCTTACCTTCGTGTATGTCTTATAACACCAAGTCCAGCTATCAATAGTACTTTTGGGTTTAGCCCCGGAAAAGGCAGCACCTCAAGATACTGGAATAAAAAATATTGTCTACTGTGATGAACAAAAAAAATAAGGACCAGATCACAATAGATCTCAGCAACTCATACCTGTGGCTAGATTTCCAAAAGTCTAGCATGTTGCTCCTGAATCTTATTAAATATTTGTTAAAAAGTTTCAAATGGGAATTGCCCAAAAATAAACTTTAAAATTCAAGTTCCTGTGGTAGATATCAAGTATTCACAACTGTTTTTACATTCTTAATTATATTTATCCTAAAGCAAAGGAGGCAAGATTTTAAAGACTAAAACTCACTATCCAAAATTATTATCTCATCATTTAACAGTCTTGCTTCTTCCCAATGCAAGTTTTTTATGTCATATTCCATTTATTATAATTATACTTTGAATAGAGGAACTGATCTGCCTACGCAGTGGAGCCTGGTTTACTTACTACCTTGGGTAGACTGTGGGAGGCAGGGAAACTAGTATTTACATACCAAAACAGAAAGCAAAATAAATGTTTTGGGAAAAAATTGCTACTAAGTAGATAACACCCAACTCACTGCATAACAAATATAACACAACTGTTTTCTCTCAGGAAGAAGGAAAATATATTTCTCAACTTTGTATTTCCTTTGCTGCTCTCTAGTTTATATTTTTCTTCCCTAATTTCTGTTTTTCCATCAGTTCCTTAGTTCTTTTGTCCGAGCCCTTATTCTTTGTATCTCTTCTCTTAAAACATCACTCTTTTCCTGGAATCTGTGTAGGACTCACTCCTGTTCCCCCTGACAGCAATGTTTTTTCCTTCAACAGAAGCAAACTGTTTTTCATTTCATGTGTTCCCTGTTTACCCGGGTATTTAATCACTGCAGTTATCATCACTGCTCATTCCAAGCCCTGTTTTGTCAGACTGTGCCCTGAGCCCTCTTTTCCTGAAGAGAAAACGGCCTCTTATGTACAAGCCATCATATCCCTACCAAAATTTCCTGTGCTGTATCAACTCTATTTCTGTTGATTTATGCCCATGACCAATTCTTATCAGTCCTAGCTGACATTTACTTTGTATCCAAATCCCTAGCAAAGTGAGCAAGAAGTGATTTGACATAAGTTCTCAATAAATAGCCACATTGAATGGAGAGGTCACGTTAAACAGAAAGGAACAAGGCCTCCAGAATTTAATACTATAATTAGATTTGTAAAGTGTGTTGTATAAATAAGTGTTGAATTCTGCAAAGTGTGGTCTTATCCTTTATTATTATTCAATTTTTTTAAGTAATAAGATGGAGAATTAGTGTATGGAGTATGAAACAGTCTTTTGATTCAGGTATTATATAGTAAAATAATGTATTATTCCAAAAAGTAATGGGATGTATTTCAGGAGAGGGACTAGCAAGATCTCTCAAGTTTAGATAGATTGATTTCAGCTCGTTTAGCCACACAGTTTGATCTAATTGTCTTTTTATTGCACTGAACATTCCTGAATCATGCAGAGAATTTGGGTTATGTGATTTAGTGTTGAATTAAAAAATGTCACAGCTTAACTTTCTTTAAAATAGTGTAGAACTTTGTTCACAGTCAACGAAGTTCATTATTTTTGTGTTCAAAGCCCAGCTGCAGGCCTGGAGCATTTCTCATAAATATCAGGAAGTACCCAAAGCCACAGTCAGGATTAAAGAGCTGATCTGAACCTTAGATCTCAGCTTTAAAGCTGTAATGTACAGTGAATTTTGTTTCATGGT